TGGATCACGTGCTCACTGAGAGTCAAAATCTTAAATTTGACAACAGAGCATGTACTGCCTATAACCCCACGTAGAATATTAGAAATTTTATTGGTTGCTTCCTAGTCTTCCAGATTTTATTTATACGAACCTTTGTATTATGACGTTGGATTCTAACACACTCAAACATACTGGTCAGGATAAAACACCATGTCCTAATATTAAAAATGTAGTCTCTGTGTTGATAGAAAACATTAAATCACCTTAGGGCCTTTTCAATTCTAACCCTCACTTTAGTCACTAACCCTCAAAAGGCTTTGCCGATGAAACGTTGGATTCTAACACACTCGCTCATATTGGTCACAATAACATTACAAACAAATTACTACTGTGTATTAAGCTCTTGGTGTGTAATATTGCTCATTAAGGCATGTTAAGACTATGTCCCAAACCCAGTCCTAAAAGGCAAACACACGCTCCTCCCCTTCTCACACGCTGTCTTGATGAACGAGATAGATTAGCTCCAATAAAACTTGATGAAAGTGAATGTAGTAGCTGGCTAAACGGCCTCTACTTCTTAGAAACAACGTCGCCGTCCAGGTCGACGCCAAGGACGTGCTTGCCCTCCTCGTCCAGCTTGAGCTCCGCTGTTCCGATGTCCTTGAGGGGGTCCATGCCGATCTTGCAGCCTACCAGGTACACGGCCTTGGGGTCGTCATCCTCCTGCTGGATCAGGTACTTGAAAGTACCGTACGGATCCTCCTTGTGCTGCCTCATCACCTTGTACTCCTTGTAACCTGCAACAAGGGGAGGTAATCATCAGGGGTGGTAACTTCAAGGAAGGGAAGTAACTTCAAACAAAGGAGGTAATTGGTTTGGATAACCGTCGATAGTACACTATGCAATGTATATTGAAGATTCGATGCCATTCAGATTTAAAAAACATATTTGATATTTTTAGATCAAAGGAATTGAATACTATTTGCATACGTTTTTTAAAATATTGTGAATGTCATATTATTTGATAAGCCGTTATTTAGCAAATATGTTTCGTAATATGTTGGGATTGTTTGGAAATCTAATGGTAATATGAAAGAAAGTTCAATCATTGAATCAGTAAGAAAAAATAAAGATTATATGAATTAACTTTGTTATGGGAAGCGAAGGATTTCCATCATGATGTGAATGTTATTACTTGCATGACACCGTTTACACACAGAGTAGTATCGATATTAAAAGAAAACATAAGTAATTGTATTGCACAGCAGTTAACATGGATGGACAGGATCGGCTTCATTTTCGAAATAATGTAGGTTTAGGGTGAAGACAGTGGAACGGCATACGCAATTCATGGAAATATTTGGTTAGCTGTATTCCTTTAATGCATCAGTTAATTTAGAGTTGGCATTGCCCTGAGGAGGCGTTGTCAGTTGTTAGCCATGAGTATAGGGGTATCATTAGTTCACATTCAACGTAATTTACCAACCCTAGGTACATGTTTCTACGTTAGTGGGACAAGGTGATCCAACGATGTGAGAAGCCTCAATTTAGCGTTGTCTGTGTCTACACACAGGACGAAAAAAGGACGTTTCCCAGCTTGGAAAGAACATGGAAAACTGATCTTTCCAATCTCTCCAAACTACACGATATTAATCATTTTGAACCAATGGTTCCAAGTAGATCATCATTTCTCCCAAACTTCCAAACATTCCCACAACTTTCTAAACATGATAATCTCTAAGCTTTTAAAATATGCTATTTCCGTTTTGAATTTTTTTATTTCTTAGAAGGGAAAATTTGGAAAAGAACACATTTCTTCCAGTGACTTGTCTTATCCGAGTGCACAACACACCTGGATTATTATCCCTAGTCTCACGGCGTAATATCCATGATCTTAAGTTTCAATAGGCTAGGCGACATATATCTCCAGTCAAACCTCGCACACATACGTTCAAAATAGTTGAAGGAAGAAACGGTACGATAATTACGTTCTTTTACTAATCATTATGGGGCAAGTAGGCTGTTATATACAGGTCCATGTATGTTGAGATAAAAACCGCTTGAAACGGTTATCGTGATCACATTTCCACATTTGTGGCTTTAATCAACGACAAATATCTACACCAGATTCTTCGTTAATTGTCTTAATCACTCAGGTTATTATACAGGGTTTGATAAATGATGCACGTCCATTATTACTGCCAGATGCAAATAACTTCATTGTTGCACTACCAGCCGATGGAAGCATAAATCTACCAGCTTATAATTTATTGAATTCATATGCACGATGTTACCTCCAGGGTAAGCATTTGGAATGCATTTATATAGCCTTTGGGTCACGTTGTTTGCAATGTATAAAACATGTTGGCTGATTGGTGTGATATGCCCCACATGCGTTGGTCAATATGATGAAGGCATCGATGGTGTACCTTGTGATGCTGCGACCAGAAGATGGCGTTAAATGATAATTTAATGCATGTTTACAAAATTCATCTTTATCCATCATCCCACATATGCAAACCTCATCCTGTTTAATTGGCGTCGGGGTTAGCTTAGTGGTTAAAGCGATCGCTCGTCAAGGCGAAGGCCCGGGTTCGATTCCCTACAAGGATACAATGTGTGAAGCCCGTTTCTAGTGTCCATCGCCGTGATATTGCTTAAATATTGCCAAAAGCGGCGTCAAACCATACTCACTCACTCATCCTATTCATTTGGCGTCCTCGTCATGTGTTCACTGTTCATCATGTTGTTATAATGTCATCCTCCTGTTATGATTTTTACCACTCTTGTTGATATTGCTCATGCATAGCTGTTCTTAATGTTAATCCGTCACCAACCATATGTAATTCTGTACCAGGCTCACACGATTCTTTCTTACTTGACAACGGTATAAGGATCTATACCCTCACATTCTATACTATCACATTATAGAAGCTTTTATCCATAAATCGTGTCCATTGAACGATTTCGACTTTCCGACTTTATAATAAGCATATAATCATCCGACGAATGCCTATCAGGCACCCCATATGCCAGAAGTTTGTTTCTGAAATGAAATATATGTTACACCTGGAAACTGACCTGGGATTGCTAAAGGTTGGACAACATGCAACCATGCCACATGCAGTTTGTATTCATGTTTCTGACACGTAGATGCCAGTATGTAGTATAACTCCAATACATGGTAATGAAGCAATAGATTAGTGAATGATGGTAAATATGAAGGTTTTTATAATGTGTCAAATTGTTACAAGAAATTTGTCTTACCATGATAGGTTCATCTCGGGCAAACGCCGGCTGGTGGCTCTGAACTGTCATCCAGGTGTTGATGAAAACATCAGGTATTTCGTATATTAAACATGAGTAGCACTTCTTGTTGTTTCAGACAATCTGCATTATGGAAGGGCTTGCAACTTTATAGTGATTGCTGTTATGTTAGATCAATGGCGTTGAGAATCATAATTTCGCGCCACGTTAAGATGTTGAGTATGGATATATGTCCTTCATAATATAGGTTTGGTCTTAGCACAAACCTACAAATTAAGAAACATCTAATACCAGTACATTTGTTTCCTGAATGGATTTGTTTTATACATGGAAGTAACTCCAGCATGGTGTTTTATCATGCTTTATCAATGTATTAGGAGCAGGTGGCCTGTAACTGGAATAAACTTTGTAAGTGTGTGTGTGTGTGTGTGTGTGTGTGTGTGTGTGTGTGTGTGTGTGTGTGTGTGTGTGTGTGTGTGTGTGTGTGTGTGTGTGTGTGTGGATATGTGACGTAATATAACAAGTATGTTCACATGCTTGTTGTCTTCATAACCAATAGGTCATGGAAACTATGAACTATAAAGTGACGTACTAACTTACTCCACCACTTATTCATCCACTGATTCGTTGTGCCGTACAGCTGCGTCACTCGTTACCTATTTTAACCTGTGTACGTATTTATTTTCATTGCTCTCTCTCTGTCTCTCCCTCTCTTTCTTTTCTCCCTCTCTCTCGCTCTCGTTCTTTCTCTCTCTCTCTCTCTCCCTCTCTCTCTCTCTCTCTCTCACACACACACACACGCACAAGAAATAACACACAAAGACTGTTTCCATCTGTTTGCAAAATCTTCTTTTTGGAAGTTTTGCCAATTTGCAAATTCTACGTAGGAACACACGACACACAACTCTGCTGATACTAGGCATAAACACCAATCTCGGGGGCTAAGTATCTAAAGAAGGATCAACTCTGTTGCACTGGAGCCGTCATCCCCGAGACAGCTGGCGCTATGACTGACGTGACGACTTAAGGGGAGGTAAGGGGAATACTCACTACTAGGGTTGATGGTTGGAGACATGCTCGATAGATAGATAGATAGATAGATAGATAGATAGATAGATAGATAGATAGATAGATAGATAGATGTCTCAAACCATCAAAAAAACCTGTGAAACAGTGGCTTGAAACATTGAAACATTATGAGGGACGTGTGGTCCGTCTACACTAAAGGAAATGGAAGTAGGCACTCAATGCATGGAGAACACACCTACATACACCCTACCAAAACACCAGAATATACAATTTTCTTATAGAAGACAAAGTACATATTTCATCAATAAATACATTACATTAAAAAATGAGAGATAGGATCATGTTTACATTTTCGACTGAACACATGCAATAAGTTGATAATGGATATTGATGCAACTGTCGGGAAGTACATATACTAATCAAAACAAGTTAAGGATCACCCTTTATTGGATGGCTGTGTGCTGAAATACGCAGCAACCATGACATATTAACAATATAAAACAATCGGGTATTCTTTAACTTAACTGAATAGTACATAATTCTTTTTATGCTGATTGACAAGTGCCAGCAGTACTTATCTATATTTCACATAAGTATGGACTGACAATACTAATTTACTGGTCTGCTCACAGTACAATTAGGGTAACAGTGCTGTGCACACGACCTGGTGGGCAGCGTGGGAACACTGTCGAGGCCACAGGTGGCGGTCTGTGACTGATACTCACCATCACCTTTGGCTGCAACCTCCACAGCCTGCCACTTGTCTCCATCCAAACTGTCGATCAGGGACTCCATCACTCTGGAATAACACAATGTTATGAGAACAAGGATTCCATGACGACGAACATGAAAATGATGATGATGGTGATGAGTGAGTGAGTATGGTTTTACGCCACCTTTAGCATTATTCGATCAATATCACGACGGGGGACACCAGAACTGGGCTTCAAAATTTGTACCCATGTGAGGGATCGAATCAGGGCCTTCGGCGTAACGAGCGAACAGAAGAAGAAGAAGAAGAAGAAGAAGAAGAAGATGATGATGATGATGATGATGATGATGATGATGATGATACTGAACAACTTAAGCATCGTTTCCCAGGCCAAAGCATCGTTTCCCAGCACTACATATCGCAATGTTTTCGAGCGAAATGAAGCTTGATTTAGCAGATGGTCTCATCAGTTTTAAAAACAAACAGCAGTAAATTTACATGAGCTCTCGTAGGTTGCTTTGGGTGTTGTTACTAGAGTGCAAGGTGACCCAGCCCCGAGACAGCAGACAGTGTGAATGCACTATCTAGGTGCTGGCATGTGTCGAACTATTGGTGTACATCAGGCGCTTGTCCCATCGCAGATACTGTACAACAAACAGATGTTTACCTTTGGATGCTTAGCAGGAACGTATCCTTCTGCCGGAAGGCATACATGAAGGTATGGAGACACACTGTGTATCGGGCATGAAGCGAGCGTGAGTAAGTTTGCTTTAGCGCGCACATCGAATAGTATTTCAGTTATATGTCAATTTCATGTCAGCTTGACTTGGGGTCAAGGTGGGACAGACAGACAGAAATGATGCAGGTCTTTGAAGAAACCAGCAGACATGGATCTGGTGCTTGAAAGTGCACATAATCAGGATGAATCTTGCATTGAACATAAAACGTCAACCCCAGAGAAAAAACACAGATTTTCCGCAAATGCTATAGAGCGTAAATGCAAAATAACGACTAAAATTATATGAATGGATCACTGCAAATTAGTGATGGCACCAGTTGTTCGCGAAAATGGTAAGCATGTCCTGCCCTACCTTTCACAGCGACAGGCCACGATTTGCATAAACAGTAAGTGGTGGGTGTCGGACGCCACATACCAGTACCCCTGTCATGCGACGGTGGCATTGTTCCACAACAGATTCCTGGCAATGCTCTGGGTACTGGGCCTCCCGTGCACTCTCTACAAAGACCGGTTAGTTATATTCTCATGACCAGGTAACATTCTAACGTAAGCCAGCGGTATTCTGGCAATGTCCATGTTGCATAACGGACGAGTGATACTTTGTGTAAATAACATGTTTCCTGTCGTAATGTTGTTGTATGTATGGATGATGCTGTGTGTAAATAACTCGTTGGTCAGTTCTGAAATAACGGGAGACGACGTAGTAATTGATGTGTAATGGCAACGCTAACTTGATAACCTTTTGTCAACAACAGGCTGCCATACAATAGCATTCCTGCTGGTAATGGCTCCGGCTAGAAAGTACACTCAAGGATAAATGTACTACCTCAGCAGCGCTTTTTTGTTTGTTGTTTAACGCCGCACTAAGCAATATTCCAGACATATGACGGCTGTCTGTAAATAATTGAGTCTGGACAAGACAATCCAGTGATTGACATCATGAACATTGATCAACGCAACTGGGATACAATGACATGCATCAAGCAAGTGAGCGAGTCTGACCACCCGATCTCTTTAGTCGCCTCTTACGACAAGCACAGTCGCCTTTTATGGCAAGCATCGGTTGCTGAAGACCTATTCTACTCCGGATCTTCACGCAAACCGGTAAACCACTGTGCTGCTTCGTTGCAAACACATAGTCTAGAGTACAGTTTATGTGCTAGGACATCGTCTGAGCTAAATACACATAGAATGAAACTACGTAGATCCTGGGGACGGGGGCAGCCTAGTGGTTCAAGCGTTCGATCGTCACGCCGAAGGCCCGGGTTCGATTCTCCACAAGGGTACAATGTGTGAAGCCCATTTCTGGTGTCCATCGCCGTGATATTGCTGGAATATTTCTAAAATCGGCGTAAAACCATACTCACTCACTCATAACGCCAATCGGGAAACATTCCGGACCTTTCCGTTAAACATTTATGTATAATTACTGCGACCTTCATATAAACCAATGATTCGTTCACCCGGCCATTTGATAAGCAGGACATGTTTCACTTTGAACTGTTCAGTCCGGATAAACGGGTGTTCAATGTGTTTATTTGTTGTTTTTGATGTTTTTTGTTAGTTGGATAACACGGCAAGATTCCAGCTAAATGACAGCAATCTCTTAAAATTCGAGTTTTGACCTGACAAACCAGTGATTGACATCATGAGCATCGATCTATGCACACTGGGATACGATGACATGCATCAACAAAGTCAGCGAGCATGACCACCCGATCCCAATCGCCTCTTACGACATGCACGGGTTGCTGAAGACCAATTGTAACCTAGCGAATTCTTACCAATTCTAACTGGTGATACATGTGAGTTTTACGGAAATATATCATTAATATTATAAACATTTAAATATCATAAACATGTGACTGATATATTCATCACAAACACAACAGCATACGTCTTAAGCTTTTCATCTGGACGCACGTGTGGTGAGCCCTTTTCGTACAAATCTCAACTAGGAGTAAGACAGCGACCAATTAAGAAGACACGGGGGCACGTGTACTATCACAGTACCGTGACGTGCATACACGTGTGTGGGGGTGGGGGTGTGGGCTGGGTGTGTGTGTGTGTGTGTGTGTGTGGGGGGGGGGGGGGGTGACTGCTTGTAATAGTCCTGACTGGTGCCAATTTTATAGTACTTGCCCACTGAGATACCATGCCGCAGTTTAACATGAATACCCCACTAAGACACAGTATACTTAATCCGAGCCGACCAGTCCTTGTTTTAGCTCCTCAATGCCGAGCACCAGGCAGGGTATCAATAAGCACAATCTTTTAACGTCTTTTGGTATGACGCGGCCGGGGATCGAACCCTGGACCTTTCGCTTTCCGGGCGGACGCTCTACCACAGAACTATGATAACCGTATATAATACATCACATCGATTAATCGTTTTTTGTTTGTTCCGTTTTTAGCTACCACCACACATTGGTCTCGACTTTCTTTTCCTGGCAGTGCAGTGCATACATGTTCCTGATATGTCTGCCATTATAGATATTATATACATACTGCTGACATATTCATCCAGAACACAATGGTACCTGTCATTCAGTATTACCTTTTGGACACACGTAAGTTGATACGTCTTCATACATATCTCATCTTTGAAACATATTACTGAGACACGTACCACACATGATATCATAATACCGTGAAGCTTGCACGACTGTGTTGGCAGCTAAAGAATGACAGCACCTGTCAGTACATGTTAGTGGTACTGCTGGTATATGACCCATTGTCACACACACATTGTCACATATGACGAGCACTGGTACTTATGACAGACAGCGCATGTGTTGATATTCCTCAGTGTTACTTCATCATAATTGTTTCTAATTAGCGAGATCCGTCTGTCAGAAGAAAGACTGGCCATTTATTTGTGAGGTTCCTTTGGTGCATCATTGTATGTTCTCCTATGCTGTAGACAGCAATAATGTTCATCCCATTTTCATCTCAATGATCTAGAAAAAGGTAAAGTGTGGTTGACAGCGTGAACACGATCTGTCTAAGGACGTCGTATCCTATGATCAGCAGAGAATACAAAGTTGTCGGGAGTTTGTTTTTCCTCGAATATCCACAGGGTAGTGAGAGCTGAGTGAGTATGGTTTTGCGCCGCTTTTAGCAATATTCAAGCACAATTACGGCACAATGGCCTCACACATTGTAGCCTTGTCGGGAATCATACCCGGGTCTTCAGCGTGACGAGCGAACGCTTTTACCACTAGGCTACCTGACCGCCCCTCTCATTGGTTGAATAATGTTCTTATTGTCATAAATAACCTTGAAGTCTTTCATGATTTTAACGAATGAGAGCATTTCTTGATAATTATCTTTTAGTTTCATATCATTCCCAAATAAGAAAAAAAAACTTTATTCGGCTTGGCGATATGAATACCACTTTATTTGAATGCTGTCGGTTCCAAATATTGAATACTCAATAACACCCGCAAGTCTGACAACACGTTATGTTAATGTCAGACGTAATTAATATATACACCTTTTAGTTTTCTAAATGCGGGAGACTGGGTGATAACACGTTGGAGACCGCCTCCGTGTTGTCGTTGATAGAGCGTCTCCCCAGAAAGCGGACCGGCGGTGGTTTGATCCCTGGTCGCGTCAAACAGAAATGCGTTTATATATGGTACCCTGCCTGGCGCTCGGCATTAAAGGGAGAAACTGAGGACAACCACACACACAGCCACACGCAGGCACACACACACACGCACGCACGCACACACACACACACACACACACACACACACACACACACACACACACACACACACACACACACACACACACACACACACACACACACACACACACACACACACACTCGTATACCAGCACATGTACACACCCATACACACACACACGCATACACACACACACGCACACACGCACGCACGCACGCACACACACACACACACACACACACACACACACAAACACACACACACACACACACACACACACACACACACACACACACACACATGTACACACCCATACACACATACACACGCATACACACACACAAGCAGGCACGTCGCTACGTCAGTGCAGTAATCATGAACACGTCGTTAAATCCCTTTTCACCTCAACTCAACTGTAACATGACGTGTCTCGTGTGCAATATGTGGAGCGCATTCGTTTTGTCACCGACGCGCCATGACTTGATTATTGCTAAAAAACACACTAAACCACACCTACAATCTATGTTCGTGTGTACTACAACAAATTGTTTATGTACTGTGTGGTGTTTGTCCTCGGTAGTAAATATATTGTCTCCACTATCGACAAAATCAAGTCCAGATACCCTCCATCACGGAAAATGGTTTCAGAGTCC